GATAATGATCCACTTAGAATTTGGCTGATAAATCCATCAACAAGTATTTACTGTCTACTGTGTGCACTTGTTCCTTAAAAACATCCGGAGGAAGAGAAGACAGGTATAAAGAAGTTCGCTAAAGATTTTCTTAAAAGGATATATAACCTGCATTTTTAAACACTTGCTTCTCGAAGGAGCAATTGCTCAGTAAAGTACTATTCCCCTCCCTCTCACTGCAAAACCTACAGAAAGAATGAATTCACAAAGAAATGTGCAAATTATACGCAAGTTTCAAAAATGCTTTGAAAAAGAAGCACAAGAAAGAATGGGGGGAATGAAACTACCTCCCTGATCACATCAAATTCAGATGGCTAGTCAGAGGGCCAGTCTTCTTGACATTTACTACATGGTGGATTTTTTCTTTTTTAACTCTTAAGACAACCCATGAGTAAAAGTTACCTGTTATTCCCTTGTCATAGATAAGAAACTGAGGTTTAGAGAGATGAATGTAATGAGATAACAAAGCAGGCTTCGAACAGAATTACAAACCCAGGAAGTCTGACATCACACCCATCCAAGACTCTATTCTTAAAACCCATACCAGTATTTTTCAAACTGCAGGTCACAACACAGTGGGTTGTCAAATAATTTAAGTGCATCATGACCAGTATTTTTAAATATTTCAAATATAGACTATTCTAATATTTTAAATAAGAATAGCTTTAGTGCAGCACATGCAGAGAGGATAAACATTTCAAGAAACTCAGTTCTGTGTGTGCTTATGTACTAGGTCACAATATAAAACATATTTCTTACTGTGGAATGCAAGGAAGGGAAAAGGCTTGAAAAACCATTGTTCTGTGCTATATACTGTCTCTCAAGAAGTAAATAAGCAGTTAATTTGACAGATGTTGTACAATACCTTTATAAAAAACAGTTCCTGCTCTTCAAGAGCCTATCCTCTCCATCTGCAGAAAATGTCAGTGGTATCCCACAGTTGTCCTTAATACTTAGTAAGTTCAACCACTTCAAAGTGGATCTGTCAGTTAGTATAGACAAGCAAATATAACTGGAAAACAGTTAAGGATTGCATCATTTTGGCTATTAACTGGCTACTTAATGGAAAACAATTCCTCTCAAAATGTATCTTTACATCAATTTTAGGCAGGCAAAGTGCAGGCACCCACAGAGCCAATGAAAAGTCAGGGAACAGGGTAAAACAAGACTTCAAACCCGAGTTGTCTTCCTTCCCAAGCAGCAAGTCTCAAATGAAAGCTCAATTTTAAAGACTAAGGAACGCCAAAATGTATCTGTACCTAAAGTCTTTGAGGCGAAAAAAGACTTTTAAAAGCATGGAAATCATCTCCATACTGCACGTATTTAAATAGTAATCTCAGCAAAGCCCTTAAAACATATGCAACTGTCCAATCCACAGGAGCATTCAACGAATGAATGAATGAATGTATGAATGAAAAGATAAATTATGAACAAACTATAAACCACTCCCGAAGCCTCCCTTCTGAACACTCACCCAGCAACCAAAGTAAAATTTACTTAAAATCCTGAAATTCATTGCATGGAATAAAATTAGATTAGGAATAAAGTTAGACTGGAAGATAAAAAGCAGAAGCCAGAGAAAAAAGTAAAGATATCTTCTCTCGTAAGGTAAACTTTGGAAACAACTTCTTTAAACATGAAAATAAAATGTTTCCTGGCTTGCAAAATTAATGTCCCACTCAAGGCATCAGCAGCAAATTCTGCGTTGTACCCTAGAAACTCTGCACAAACTCTCTTTTGTGTAGTGAAGAAGGCTTTCCCACTGCTTACGAAAATCAGTTTTGATTGCCGTAAATAACTGGGAAAAAATGGAGTTCTTCTGCACTGTTAGCTGGTTTAAGTGTCTGCAACTTTGAGACTAATCGCTAGAGCAACTCGGCGTTTGACAGCTTTCTGGACCCTCCTGGCCGACTCTTTGGGAGCCCTATTCCGTCTCTAATTCCGGTTTCCAGGAGAATACGAAACATTTAACTCAACATAAACTGCTAATAATCAACTTTCAAAGGTCAAAGGGGACCCAGGTTTTAACCTTCTCTCACCAACACGTGTTCAGTACAAACTTCCGGGTGCGGTTACAATTGGCTGCGCAATTCAATGGATAAAAACGTTGCTTCATTTGACTCTCATCTTCTCGCCCGTTCTTTTCCCACGTTTCTCAACCAGCGACTCCCCAAAACAAAAGCCTCCCACAGTAAACGGAGCACGCACATAAAAAGAGCTTCTCTGTGCGAGGATCAAGTTAGTGGTCCGCAAACATTAACCAAACAGAAACACAAAGCCGGGGTGGAAAGGGGAGGAGCTGGATGCCAGGGTCAGGAAAGAAACAATCACAAGGGTTCAGGAACATCCAAATCTCCTCAGGGGTTAAACCGACCCCCAAACCACTTCTGGGAAACCACCAGCATACACTGGTTTGGGGAACTTTAGATGCTCGTTACGCCAAGCACCCTCAAAGTAAGCAAATCCCCAACCGCCTTTCCCCTCCACATAGATGCTTACTTAAGGTCCAGGAGGCGAGCAAGCGAGCTTGAGGCAAATTTAACCTAATCATCGGGTGAAGCGTGAAGGTGTCCCCACGTGTCCCACGTACTGTCCCCATCGCCCCGAGAGCGAGGTAATCAGCAAACTGCAGGTGCGGGGTCCAGATCTGGGGAGACCCTGTCGCCTCCCGCACTCGCCCCAAACCGGAGCAATCCTCCTGCAAGAGGACTTCAGAAGGATTGCGGAGCTCACTTTCCTGCGGGTCCGGGACCTCAGCCCCCGAGTCGAGTGGGGGAATCAAGGGGGGCGACCCAAGCGGAGCCGGAGCCAGCGGCCGCAG